ATTTAATAACTAATTATTGTATTAGGACCAAAGTTTTTTCCTATTTTCTACTTTGTCATCCAGAAACCAGCCAGTTTTGGAAATCTCTCAGACATTCACCCGGGCAAAGATCTAATCAGATAGTAAAAGAATTTCTAAGTTTGGGCTATTGGGTGTATTCCTGCTAATTGTGTCTGCTGAGATAGGTCTGGGAAAATGTTGATTTTCCCTATTATCAAGACAGGTGATATGGAAATTGATGTCTCTTGGACCAAGACTTGAATGACCTAAGTGTAGTACCCCAAGATAGCATACCTCTCATTGGGTTAACCAATCAGAGTTGATTAAACATTACTCAGGAACACCTACTCTTCCAAGGGCATATAAACTGTGAGCCCACCACCATGAAGGGTCTTTGGTCTAAGAGAGACAGCCAAATGATAATCCTTTTATTAATAATGTGCTGGCCTTATTAATAAAATTAATAAAATATCTCTCAAACCTTTTTAATCATCACATTGGGTTTATCCCCTCTGCCATTTGCATCTTTATCCTTATCATCATCATTATCATTATTAAAATAGCACTTTAAGTTTTGAAGGTGCTTTATAAGCATTATCTCATTTGACCCTCACATAACTCAGTGAGGTACTACTGGTCTTCTACTACTAATTATTGCTAGCATTTCTTTAGCATTTTAAGATTTGAAAGGGGCTGTATGTGTTATCTTATTTGATTTTCATAACAACCCTAGGAACACACAGCTAATAAAATTCTTCAGGGAGGATTTGAACTCAGTTTTTCCTAATTACAAGTCCATGACTATAGCCACTGTGCACTTAGCTGCCAAGTAGTTTCTACTGTTAGAACTTGTAGGAAATTGTGCCCCAGTGCATACTGAGAGAGTCCTTCCTTGTTATTTACATTGTAATTATGTTCAATTCAATGCTTTTTGCTTTGAATAAATTTGTGATCTGGTTTGTTCTGGTAAAATGGAACATTGAATGGGAAGCTTATGAGCTGCACATGTAGCAGATACTGATCCAAAGAACACCTTGAACTTGCTTTTTGTGGCTGTGTTGAAGGTGTTTAACGGACTTCGATTGTATAAGTTTAAGCTATAATTATTAGCACAGTGAATGATTTCTGACAATATGAATGAAACTGGGCACAGGGTCATTATCAGAAGATAAATGGATGCAGGAAGGTAAGTAGAAGAATGCCAAAGATAGATGACAGCTTTCTAAAAGATTGCCTAAGGCAGTGTTGTCTGTACCCAGGAAGGATGGGGAAATTTTAGTGTTCCTCTGTCCCGTAAGTAAGGCTAATACTTCTTTTTTTTTGGGCAACTGAGGTTGTGACTTGCCCAGTGCCACTTGCCACACAGCTAGTAAGTGTCAAGTGTTTGGTCTGAGACCAGATTTGAACTCAGGTCCTCCTGACTTCAGGGCCGGTGCTCTATCCACTGTGCCACCTAGCTGCCCCAAGGCTAATACTTTATAATATCATTTTCAGATATGTAAGAGGTTAAATAGGTATTTATGGGCTAGCTTTGGAAACTAGATACCATTTACAACATTGTTTCTATAGGAAAATATATTTTCATTTGAAGTAAAGTTAGAATGGGTAAAGAACTGGAATTGGAACAAAGAACTGAATTGCAATGTTGCCTCCTACACTGACTAGCCATGGGATTCTGAGCTAGTAGCTTTACCTCTCTGAGCTCCAGTTTCTTCAAAAACTATTCTAAAACAGGGTTAATAATAGAGCCTACTTCATAAAGTTGCTGTGAGGGTTTCATAAAAGCTAATGCATGTGTAATTAGGGGCATCCCATGAAGTACATTTAAAGTCCTTTCTGATTCTGGACAGCTATGCAGGAGCTTTGGAGCCATGCATGACTCAGAGCTGAAGGACTTGTATTTTGAGATGATTGAACTGGAAGATCTGATGACTCAGTGAATATTTAAAAGGGAGGGTCCTACTTTTAAATCTTTCTTCCCTTCCATGTATTAATCATGTCAGTTTTCAGCAGATTTTCATAAGGGTTTGGTGGAGAGTAGCTTGGCATCTAAGGTACATGTCCTGCCTAGATAAGCCTGAATCTGGGTTTGGACTGCCTCTTTGTATTTGTTCTTTCTTGATTTTATACAAACTAGTACCTATCCTTGGATAGATGTGTTAAGGTTTGCAAGCAACTTAGAAAGTCTGAGAGGTTGGAAGTTCCTGGGTATCATTGGTTTGCTGCTGACTGACTGCAAGAAAGTCCTTCCTATTACTTCAGGACTCTTGGTAAAGATAACTACCAACAAGAAGATTGACCCAAATCTGACTCATTTTACCATTAGAATCATATTGTGTGGGTTTGGACAGTGCAGAGCTGAGATGAAATGGAAAATGCCTAAACAGCAGTCCTGCATGCTACTTTATATTTTGATGAGGTTTGAGCATCTCAAGGGAATATGAGTTAATAATAATGATAATAATAAATTAAATTGCTGAATCCAGTTTTAAGTTGTTCTGCCAAGTTCTGTCTTTTGTGTCCATTAGCATTTATTTTTGTATGTGTAAGAAATAAATACCTGTCCCATACCTGATATATGTTGCACAATGAGACTGAGACAGGAACCACAACATAAGCTTTAAGTAAATTGTCCCCAGAAAGTTGGGGTGAGGGTTTACCAAGTTGACTAATGTAAAAAAATGGAACCTAACCCCTTTCATTAGAGACAAGTTTCCATTAGGACTGAAATTGTCTGGATTGTTTGCCAGGGTTCAAAGCAGAGTCAGTTAGTCAAACCAATAAATATTCATTAAGCACCTACTGTGTGCCAGCTATGATGCTAAACACTGGGGATACAAAAAGAGGCAAAAGATAGTCCCTGCCCTCAAGGAGCTTAAAATTTAATGGGGGAGACAGTAAACATGTACAAACAAGCTATGTATATGTATATTATATATGGATAAAAATAAAATAATAGAGGGAAGACTAGAATTAAGAGGGGTAGGGAAAGGCTTTCTGTAGAAGCTTTTTATTTTTTATTATTTTTATTTTATTAATTTAATAAATTAAGTTTATTTAATTTTAGTTGGGAGTTGAAGGAAGCCAGGAGGCAGAGATGAGGAGGGAGAACATTCTAGGCATGGTGGACAACCAGAGAAACTACCCACATCCAGAGGAGAGATGGAGTGTCTGCTTCCTAGAATAGGAGATCAGGGTCACTGAATCAAAGCATACCTGGGGGAGGGTAGTGTAAAGTGTAAAGAAGATAGGAAAGTGTTGAAGGACTAGGTTATGAAGGACTTTGAAGGCCAGAGGATTTTGTACTCCTTCCTCCTTTCCACATATTGACCTTCTTAGCTTCCTTGAAGTCCAAGCTAAAATTCCTCCTTTTACTGAAAGCCTTTGCCAAAGGCTTTTAATTCTAGTGTTATCTATTTGTTAATTATTTCCTATTAACCCTGTATGCAGCTTGCTTTGTTGTATGTTTGTTTGCATGTTGTCTCCTCAATTAGATTATTAGCTCCTTGAGGAAAGGAACTGTTTTTCATCTCTTTTTGTATCCCCTGTGCTTAGCACAGTGCCTGGAACGTAGTAGACACTTAATAAATGTTTATTGATTGATTGACTACTTGATCCTTGTAGGTGATAAGGAGCGATTGGTTACAGCCTGGGCCTAGAGTCCAGAAAATCTGAGTTCAAGGCATCAGACACTTACTAGCTGTATGACCCTGGGCAAATCACTTATTCTGTTTGCCTCAATCCACTGGAGAAGGAAATGGCAAACTACTCCAGAATCTGTCAAGAAAATCCCATGGATTGTATGGTCTACAGGGTCATGAAGAGTCTGACAAAGCTAAACAACAAAAAGGGTTTAGGGGGGAAAAGAGAATTAGTTCGGTTTTGGACATGTTGAGTTTGAGGTTATCTTCTAGACATTCAGTTTGAGATGACTGAAAGATATTTGGAGATTCCAGATTTGAGGTCAGCAGAGAGATTAGGGCAGGATATATGGATACAAGAATCACCCTCATAGAAATGATATTTAAATTCACAGGAGTTGGTGAGATCACCAAAGTGAAGCAGTACAGAGTGGGAAAGAAGAAAGCATGGACTAAGTCCTATAGGACATGTAGAGTTAGAGGGCATGACTTGGTAGAGAATTCAGCAAAGGAGACTGAGAAAGAGCAGGTAGAGGGGCTTCTTTGTGGAGAAGGGAGGAGGTTGAGCGCACCAGGGGTTATCAACAACAGATATGTAAAAGACTTTGCAAACCTTAAAGATGACTGGGAACGAAATAAAAAAAAAAGAGAATATTTTGTACTTAACTCAGTTAATTTCTTGTTTGCGAATTTTTATTCAAACACTTAAACAGAAAATTCGTATTCCATGTTATCAATGTGTTTATCTAATTATTAATGGTAATTACCATTAGGATATTTTTTAACAGCCAAGACCTTTTTATTTTCTAACGAAGAGCACACAGGGATACTATGGTTTGAGGGCTGAGAGTCATGCAGGCTCTTTATAGCAACCCTCACGCCAAGGGCTTAGAATGCAGTTTGCTAGGACAACGCAACGATCAATTAAAAATATTACTGTCCAAAACCTAGGAAGGAGAAGGTGGGGCAACGAAAGTTCCAGATCTCCTCGGCCTAGAAGCAAAGCACTTTGAGTAGCTACCTCCTCCAATTTGGGGGTGGGACGACGGGGGCGAGGGAGGGGACTTGTCTCTGGAGCTCACTGGAGAACTACAATTCCCAGAAGGAGGTGCGAACACGGGAGGAAGAGAGGCAGGAAGCGGCGCGAGACGCTGGCCCAGCCGGGTGCCCCCTGCGTTCCCTGTAACCACTGCCGACCCCGGATCTCCGGAGCCGGAGCAGGAGCCGGCGCTGGCGGAGGGGAGGAAGTAGCTGCGGCCGTCGATGTGCGCGGGAGCTCTCAGCCTCCCTGGACCGCCATGGGCTTCGCCAGGGATGTAGGGAGCTAGGCTCCGAGGCTGGGCCCCGGCGGCGGGGAGGGAGCGGGGCGCGGCGCCCCGAGGATGGAGAGAGCGATGGAGCAGCTCAACCGCCTGACCCGCTCGCTGCGCCGCGCCCGCACCGTGGAGCTGCCCGAAGGTAGGGGAGCGGAGCGGGGCCGGGGGAGGAGGAGGCCCGTCCGGGGTTGCTGGAGAACCAGTCAAAAAAAATCAAAACCAAAACAAACCCCTCAAAGTTACGCTTTTCCCTGTCCAGGAAGGGGCCTTCCGGCTGTCCCTCGCTCGCCTCTCCACCTGCGCCTCGTCAGCCGGGTGAAGTGAGTTAGGCTGAGGGCCGGGTGGGTGATCTCCAGCTGCGGGGGCGTGAGTGCTGGGCCGGGGGTGTGTGATGGCGTCTGATGGTCAGAGCTAATTTTCTTTTAATGCTCAGTTAGATTTTTAAGACTTCTTAATTTATCCCTCGACCCATGAATTAAATTTTTTTTTATTACTATTTGGGTGTACTATAATTGGTTTCCATTTTAACTGTATGCGTTTTATTTTAGGCAGTTAAGACTATTGTTCTGAGGAAGTGATCCATAGGCTTCACCAGAGTGCCTCAGGGGTTCCATGACATACAAAAAAAGTTAAGAATCCCAGAATGAGAAGCTTGGTGCAGGATTAAACGATCTGGGTTACAGGGTTTTGGGTCCTTTTTTAATTTCAGAGGTCTGAGCGATGCCTTCAGCAGAACTTCCCTCCTGCTGGCAGTCAAAGACCAGATTGCAGATGCACGTCCCCCCACTCCCAGTGTAGGATCTCATCTGGTTTTATTTCTCTTAAGTTGCTAGTAGGGGGTTGTTTATTTAAGTTACCTTGCCAATTTGAGAATGCGGAGTGGGTGGTGCTGGTCCTGGTGATCTCAACTCGTTTACATAGAGCTTTCCTCTATATGACCTCTTGAACTAGCTTGCAGGTATCCCCATAATGATAAATGTCTATGTATGTGTATGTATGTATATATGTATATAGTCCCAAATAATTTTATTATAAATGTAAAGATTGTTTTGATTAATTGCTGCGTGCTCAAAAAAGGATGTGAGATCTCTAAACAGTGAAGAATTTGTCTGAGATGTATTTGGTCTCATTAGAGAATCAGCTTTTGATGAGTCTTTAACCACCTCCAGTTACTACTGAGGTGGGATAGTTTGAAGCAGCATTTATGCTGCATAAGAGCTAAGAATATAGGTATTTGAATTTTTGAATTGGTTTTTGGTTTCCATTCTTCTTTGATTTGGCAAAGACCTTAGAGTATTACTTCTGGAGAGCAGATTGTTAGTCGTCCTTGGCACGAATATCATAAGAACAGCCCTTTTGAAAAAAAAGAGGGTGAGCGGAATGGAAAATAATTTTTATTTCTGGAGGACTTTTAAAAAAGTATCTAATATTGTTTATTTGTTTAGGAAAACAGCCCTGTGACTTTTGGTTCATTCAAGGAGATAGTGGAATTTAAAATTTCTACTAAAATGTTTTAGGTGACCATATATATAACATTAGTTTACGTAAAAAGTAAAATTGTCTTATTAGTGGTTCTAGAGAGTTTTAAAGCATATTTTTATAATTGGCATTAGTGATTTGGGAAAAACCTTATATAAAAATAATGCTACTGATGCGGTCTAGAGGTTAGGGGTCCTGGCACCCCAAAATCACGATACCCGGGTCCTGCCCGAAAAAATTTGACCCAGGCCTTCTTGCAGCCAAAAACAAAGTTTATTGAAGAGTCGCCGTATTAGCTAGACTCTTAAGGAGTCTGAGCATCTGTGGGCTATTGGCTAGATTGTAAAAATCTGAGCATCTTAATGGAGACAAGATGGACCTTATATACAGAAAGATGGTGGGAGAGTGGCCAAGTAGTCCATGAGGTAATATAATTCCGAAGGGTGGGAAATGAAACCTAGGTGGGACCAAGGGTGGAAAGTGGCCTGGGGTCATAGGGAATCAAGACAATAGAGGGGAGATTGGGTGTAGCCACAATGAAAGACCAGTTGATGGGACCATAGCCGCCAGAGATTTGGCCATGTTGGGAAGTACAGAGTATTTCCTTTCTGGGGCTCAGATTCCAACCCCATCACTACTTTCAGAATTGAGGCAAAGGGAATATTTGTGTAAAGATAGATGGATTGTTCATTAATAATTTGCTATTTGATTGTCAGTTCTTTTGAAACTTCGGTCCAAAAACCAAAAATTTAAATAGCTTCTCATAAAACCAGACTCTTTTCTTTCCTCTTACTTGTTGCTCTATTACTTTTGGAAATAATATTATCTTCTGAGGACTTAAGAAATCAATTTTAATTATAGAGAGAAACCAGTCTGTGATCCTATCATGCTGATTCACCCTTTAATATTTTAAAGATATTTTTCTTAAACTCTTTAGCCTTTTCCTTCTGTAACAAAGACTTGGATTAGGGGCTGTGGCAATTATAATATTCCAGGTCCAGGTTTGCTCTCTTCTTTTTCATTGTAATCCACTTTCCACAGTACTTGTGCTGTTCTCTGAACACAAAAGGCATTCAGTAAATGTTGATTAAATTGCTTTGAATTCTTTTAAAATGAGTTTTTGAAAATACCTAGGTATTGCAGTTTCCTTTACACACTTGATCTGAATGAGCACAGATGACATGAATACATGTTACTTCTGGGAACCTTAGTATTCATTTTTCTTTTAGTTAGTGAGAATTAATAGTACTGTATTCATTTATAATACTTTTAAGTCATAATTTGTATAGGACAAGGGTCTTTCCTGTTGATGATAATTGTTTTCCAAGATGTGATCTAGTGGAGTTGTTAGAGTTTAAAGTTCAAATTTTCTTTTGGAGTGTGCACATGAAAGATAAAGAATGCTGTCATAGCATCTTTGCATTGAAAAACATTTTTTGTACACACTGTTTATCGCACTATTTTGATAAGGCTGATAAATGCTGACTATATTGGCTTTTAACATTTTTTTTTCCCTTTATAAGCATTAGGAAAGATCTTTTGTTACTGCGGAGTACTTTTTTTTTTGAAGTTAAAGGCAAAGTGGCAAAATCAAAAATACTTTGATAATATATAGTAGGGAGGTTTTTGAAAATGTGTAAACCCAGTAAAACTTGTTAAACTGGAGTATGGCCTTAAATAGTTTGATACATTTGTGACTTAATTGATGTACTTCCTCCAGTGATGCAGATGATAACCTGTCCCCAGCTTCCCATCCTATGTAACTCTTGTCCATGGTCTCCCATAAATATTTCAGTAGGAATCCATGCAACATGCTAGGGTCCTTCCTTTAAATCTTTTGACATTGTGTATATACCAATGGACTGCCATTTAAATAGCCCTTGCTCTTGCCTCATGACTAAACAGACTCCATTTCTAGTCGTGAGTTTCTCTGATGATCCCCTTTATTCCATTTCTTGTGTTAGCTCCTTGTTGGTAATACGCTGTGGACTGTTTTATGTCCACTGTGCTCCTTTTATGTCCTTTTGGGTAACTGGCAAGTTGAATTCTTTGGCAACTATGTTATTCTAAGACTTGCTTTGTTAGAAGAATATTGATCTTAAAACATGTCAGTTTGTTTCAGGGGGAAGTTTATGTCATTAAAAAAAATAGCACTGCACTATTTCCCAAAAGCAATCCAGTCCCTTCTTCTCCTTATATTCTATTCTGGGTCCAGTTTATTGATCATCCAGAGTGTCTGTTCAAGATACATATGCTGTTCAAGATATATTTGCTCTATGGATTGTTCGTCCAATTGCTTAGTGTATCTGAACAGTAAATATTCTTTATCCACTTCAGTTTTCCTGTATGTTAGTCTGAATTATCTTGAGTCATTATTTCTCATCTCATTTAGGAGACTTTATACTGTTCTAGGGTTTGATACAATTTATCAGCATGATATTATTCACAGGCATCATCTTGATCACCTATTTTATGGGTAATCCCTCTTCCATTTGCTCTCTGGAATGGAGACTCTTAAATGACAGAAGAATCTTTAGCAAGTATGTATCTCCCTGTTTTTTTCCTTGCTTGTTAATTATCACCAGAATGTCATAGGACAAAATTATTCCTGTTATATCTTTCAGGGAATCATATTTACATGGGAGATAACCTTTTTGAAGAAGACTCTTCAAGGCAATGTTTTGTGCTACTAGATCCAGTGTTTTTTTATAGTATTAACAAAGTGGATTTATCTATTTTCTAAATTTTTTAGTCAATTGTGTGATAGTGAAGATGTGGTCTGATGTGAAATATTGCTTTGTAAAGGGCTACCACTTTCCTTCTCAAACTTTCATCAAGAATTGCCTTCTTGGGACAGGTAGGTGGCATAGTGGATGGAGCACCAGCCCTGGGTTCAGGAGGACCTGAGTTCAGAAGTGGCCTCAGACATATAACACTTACTAGCTGTGTGACCCTGGGCAAGTCACTTAACCCCATTGCCTAACCAAAAAAAAAAAAAGAAAAATTCCTTCTTGTATGTGTAGATTATTCTTATAAGGACCTAGTAAAAATGGAAAGGGGCATCTGGATTTGTAGTCATATTTTTACTCATTTTGGGAGGATAATAAGGTACATAATTTTCCCCAAGCATGATATCACCCTTTCTTTCAGATATCTTGAGAATCATTTCTTCATGAGCTGCAAGATCATGTTTTTTTCTTCATGGTTCTTTGTTTATATGTGATCTAGTTGAAGTTAGATAGGCTTTGAATTGGAAACATTGCTTTTTGAAGAGAAGGCTAAGTTTTTGGCATCATGGCCATGTTTCATGGGACTCATGAAACAAAGAAAAAGATAAAATTGTCTTCAGTCCTTTGTGGGCCTTACTACTTCTACAACTACTCTTTACCTTGGAATGCTTCTCACAGGCAAAGGTCCCTTTCTCATTCCTCCCTGGATCTGTGACTTGGATGACTAGTGAGAAACAGAGCTACTGTTTGGCACTTGTTCTTGCATGCTACATGTAAGTTTAGAGTCTATGTTGGCTTTTGTACACAGCTTCTCTGTGCCTGGAATTAGAGCTCTGCCTGTCTTCCTATCCTAATTGGGTTGAAAAATGGCTTACTTTGTTGTTGTTGTTTTTCCATGAATTTTTCTATCAACATTTTATTTAGTCTGGTGTATTTTCTAATTAGTTCTCTTTGGACTAGTTGAAGGAAGGGTGTGAGCTCACTGTACTTTTTCCTTGTCCTCTTCCATCTTGGCTTTTCCCAAATTAATTGTATATTTACAGGAAATGACTAGTTACTAATGTTAGTGGCCTTTCAGAGTAATTTGTATATAGTTCCACCACTCGCTTGTAAGAGCAAAGATCTTAGAATTAGAAGAATACAAATAAGAAGGTATCATATACAATTGAGGAATCTCCAGCCCTACTTATTTTTACAAGTTGTTGAATCCCTAAATTGTCAAAATAAATTAATAAAATAGACAGTGACATTGACTGTCACCTTTTCCAGAGGAAGTTCAATATGTATATGTATATATATATATTTTTTGTTAACAAACTCTTCACCAACAATGATGGTGGAACACTACTGTATTTGAATATCTTAACAGCACAGTTGTTGTTATATATGTATGGAGAAATAGAAATGGCAGCCAAAATTATAAAAAATAAATTTTAGAAGGATATCTGAAGTTAGTAATATGATATATATTGTTTTTTAAATGTCCTAGTTTTTTCTTATTCATAATTTTTGATAACTTATTTTTTTCAGATAACAGCAGGGGGAAAGTATTTTGAAAAATATTGTGTTACACAAATGTGATTTTTTTTAGTAGTTTTTATAAAGCATTTTAAACTAATTTTGTTATACTACTGTATTTATAAGAACATACTGTGTAATTGTTTTAGATTTTTAACAACCTTTAATATTTATAGTTTTGATACCATGCATTATAAAAGATCAAACATTAGTGTGATCAGACTTGTAAAACTGTTACCTTTATAAATAAACTCAATTTTTAAAGCTTAAAGTAGTATAAATTCATCAAGTTCTTTTTCTGGCAAGTTCCTGGAAAGAAAGTAATTTCCAAGATGTTGATTTGAAAACAGATTTGGAGGCGGTACCTTGTCTGACACTCTTCCCCTGTCTTGTTGCTTTGAGTAGTTAAGATGATTTGATTCCAAAGTCATCTTAATTCTTTCCTTTTAGGAGAACTAGGCATTAAATATATGGGAAGTCTAGTTATACTGTAAACTAGATTATGCCTAGCAGCAACTTCATATGCCCTCTCAGAAGTTCCTTAATTGTACATGCATAGGCGAGATAAACTAATCTTTTTTTTTTTTTTTTTTAACTGGTTTTTGTTTAGATAATGAAACGGCTGTTTATACATTAATGCCAATGGTTATGGCTGACCAGCATAGGTAAGTATTTCTTTTAAAGACTAAATTTTTAGGGTTACCTAAACAGTCACAAAAAAACTTTGATTTTTAGAGCTAGAAGTGAACATGGAGGCAGTCTAATTCAGTGCTTTATTTACACATATGAGAAATAGGGACAAGGAGGTTTCAGACTTGCCCAAGGTAAAATTGCTAATATTTGTCTAAAATTTTCCTTCATTATATCCCTTTTTCTTTAGAAAATAAATTCACTGTTGTAGCAGACCACCTCAATTTTACAGATGGTAATAATAAGAGTTAACATTTATATAGTGCTAAATGAGATGTTGTTGGACTGTATTCGATTAAAAAGTATGCCTGTTGTATGCAGTTGTGGTGCTAGGTACAAATACAAAACAATTCCTGCTCTTAAGGAGCTTATGTCCTACCAGCATGTGCACAGAAAAAAATCGAGGTAATTTGATATCACTAGGTTTCTTTAAGATTCTAAGATTCTGTAATTAAGATATTTTAACTTTAATTTCTTAAAACTATACTAAGACTTTTGGGACACCCTGTAATCACCCATTCCATGGAAATAAATGTTTGGCTGGTTAACATGGGCTACTTGAGATAGCTTGAGATAGAATGGTAATGGTGGGTAAATAGGTGCCGAGCTAATCATTCAGAAATTATAGAAATGTAAGAAAGCATATTTTCTTAATGTATTGCTATTTTTGTGTTCTGCTATTTGTGAAGAATTGTTGACTGTTTTAGAGTTGTACCTAAGCCAGATTGATATCTAGATGATTGGCATTTAAAATTGATGGAGAAACTGCTTACCTGTAGTTAGGATCTTGCCTTTAAGATGGCATATGTATAGGCAAAAAAGAGGAGAGAGAGAGACAGGCAGGCAGACAGACAGACAGATAAGGCAGATATGGATTTTGCAGTAACTTTACAAGTGATTCAGGCAAAACTTAGATATGGAGTCACAAATCCCACATCAGGCATGTGTTGTATGTATGCAGTTCCTCAAACCTAACGCTTTGTATAGAAGAATTCATTGGCAGCAGAAACCACTTTAGGTGACTTCAGAGTAGAGAACACGTCAGTCTTAATAGTCTTGGTTGGAACCTTCTGGTACTTAGTTTAATTGACTATGTCCAGTACTTTTTGGTAGTAATACTACTTTGGGGAAATTGTTACACTTCAGAGAATTACTTCTCCCCTGGGGCTATGGCTATCTCATTCTTCTTGAAGATGATGAAGATGAAAAACTGTGAACTGTGTTTTAGTCTTTTGATTTTGTTTCTGTGTAGATCTGTTTCAGAATTATTATCCAATTCAAAGTTTGATGTCAATTATGCATTTGGACGAGTGAAAAGAAGCTTACTTCACATTGCTGCAAAGTAAGACATGCTTGGTTTGGGTAAATAAATGTGTCCTGTTGTTTCTTTACCTTTTCTTGATCGCCTTCATTCTGTTTTTTTGGTTATTCTGGAATGTGACCAGTGATACAGCCATGAACTACTACCACAGACTCTAGGTTGGACCTAGATTGTAGTCTGGGTAGATTCCCTTTGTGATGGATGGAACAAGAACCGTGCAGCTAAATTTCCTTTTGAATTGGAGAAACTATTAAATTATTGAAATTTTAGAATTAACTTTAAAATAATTGTCATCTGGAAATATGCTATAATATGAAGGCATTGACTTTTATCGTCTATGACTAAGACTTGTCTTAGGCTAGATGGACAGTGCTATTTAGCTGGATTATCCCATTGCTTATTACTAATAGAAAATTAGACTTTTGGAAAGTATTTCCATGACACTTGCAATTCAAGGAGTAATAATGAGGAAATCGTTAAAGCAGTGTATGTACATACAGTAGTACAAATTTATGTATTTTCTGGAGTTGGGAACCCTGGCTAAAACAAGCTGCTACTTAATTGATATCCTAGTAGAAACAGAATGTTTTATCTTCTTGGAGTAGGTGTAGGACGTTTAAGTAAGTGATCACACAGATATATTTAATTTTTGACCTTTGGATATTAAATTACTCAACATGTTTGCTTTAGATATTGAAAGAATTTGAACTCTTAATTTTGTTTCAGTTGTGGATCAGTCGAATGCTTGGTTCTGCTGTTAAAAAAAGGAGCAAATCCTAACTATCAAGATATTTCAGGGTGTACACCCCTTCATCTGGCAGCTAGAAATGGGTAAAATGATTTTTCTAGATAACTTGTTTCTCATAATGTGTTCAGTGATTTTCAGTTATCTTTAGTTAGGAATTTTTAATATTTAGCTTGTGGAAATCCTGTAAACATGTTAGTATGATCAGTTTTAATATAGAATTTTTCTTAAAGATATAGGTTAGAATTTTACATATCAAGGAAGGAAGAAAAAAATTTATTAATTGCTTATTCTGTGCTAAGTACTGTGCTAAGTGCTTTACAAATATTATCTCATTTGATCCCCACAGAGTCTGAAACTAGACTTAAACTCAGTCCTTCCTCACTTTAGGCTTGGAGCCAGGTACTTAGCTGCCTCAAGAAATGAATATTATCAAGAAAAGTGAAATGAGTATCACTAATTCATATGGTTATTTGGTGTTTTTAGATACAGTTATGGTTGAACATTATATTCGTTGATCTTTTTCTGTAGTTTTCATTTTCATGAAAAAGAAGCAGTGTGGTGTAAGGAGAGAGAATTGGCCTTGAAGCCAGGAAAACATAGGTTCAAATCCTACCTTTTGCACATGTTAGCTAGGCCAGTCACTTAACCTCTCAGTATTCGAGGCAACTCTCTTAGCACTGGGGTTCTTGATTTTTTTATTTTTATCTATCTATCTGTCTATTTATTTATTTATTTATTTATTTTTTTGGGTGAGGCAGTCAGGGTTAAGTGACTTGCCCAGGGTCACACAGCTAGTAAGTGTCAAGTGTCTGAGGCCAAATTTGAACTCAGGTCCTCCTGACTCCAAGGCCGGAGCTCTATCTACTTGTGCCACTTAGCTGCCCCGAGTTCTTGATTTTTTAAAAAATATCATTATTAGATTGCCCTTTGGCAATCTAGTGAAACCTATGGATCTCTTCACGAAATAATGTTTTTAAATGCATAAAATAACACCTGTAAGAAACTGACTATTGATAACTGTACATATAGTTATTAAGATATTATAAAAACAAGTTTATGGAGCCCACGTGAAGAAGCTCCCTCTAATTAATGCAGGTTAGTCAATAACTCTTCTGCAACCTAAGAGTCTTAGAGCATAGAGTTAATAATATGTAGTAGATAACTGTCTTAGGAAAATGTATAGATATGAACAACTATTTCACTAAACTTTCAGTCTAATTAGAAGCTAAAGAACAGATTGCCTCACAGTATGGATAAAAACAAGTTCAATCCTTTTGTCACTATAGCAGGAGATTCAGGCAGGTGACTCAGTGTGAAAGATATGGACATGGTCCCGGTATTGAAAGACAGGATGTTTTCTGGATTAGTCTGCCAGAAAGAATCTTCATAAACTATTCCTCAGAAACAAAGACTTGACAAATAGCACGTGAAAATGAATCATTTTAATCATTAGGTCTGCTGATACTAGACCATCTTTGTGGGAGGAGGCTTTCATTATATTAATTTAGAAGATAAAGAAATAAGGTAGAGAGATTAAGTGATTTATACAGCAAGTCAGTGGAAGAAAATTAATTAGAATTGGTTTATGACGCCTAGACTTGTTGTAGGTTAATTTCTTAATATTTAACTGACTTTAAAAAATCTCTGTAGGTAAAATTTAAAAGCTGCTGTATATAGTTTGTGATATTTTTAGAGGCAGAGCTTTTTATGACAAAAATTTCTAACATTATGTAATTTAAGATGATGTAGTTTGACCATGAATTAGCATATATAATTAAGAATTTCTTTAGAACATAGTTTGGTCTTGTGTTAACAAGCATCTTTAAAATATCTGATCACACAGCTACAAGCCCAGTTGCTTTAAGCAAATGTGCAAATGTGAGGGACAGCTAGGCAAATTAGGGCTTCTTCTACATTGTCTATTAGTAGCTCCACTTCTCTTCTATATTTGTTGTGTGTACCTCAGCTGTCTCTGTTCTAGTGAGTAGTATGGTCTTCCTAGCCTATTATAGCATTTGTCTGCCTTCACAAGTGCTACTTTTGATAAGTTTACTTTCCAGCCCTGTTGAGTAGTAATTTTTTCCTGTATCTCATAATCTTCATGATGACATCATGATCTTGATAATCATTACAACTAATACTTACATAGTGCTTCAATATTTGCAAAATGCTTTACAGATATCTAATTTGATTCTCATAATAACCCTGGAATAACCCTGGCAGGTTAGGTATCTTATTATCCCTATTTTACAGAAGGAAACTGAGGCAGACAGAGGTTAAAGTGACTTGTCCAAGATCATGCAGCTAGTAAGTGTCTGATGCTGCATTTGATCTCAGGTTTTCCTGACTCCAGATCTACTCTGCCACTCAGCCACATGTTAACTGGTATAGTATATAAATTAGAAAACAGTGACTTTTAAATTTGGAGATTTTGAGAAAATTGCTTTATAGCTCAGGTTGTGGAAATATCCTAAATGTTCAGACCTGTGAAATTTGAAGAATGGGTATGATACAGTTTGAAGAGTGGGTATGAGAGAATTGTCAATACTTAAATTAATTCAGACTACTCATTGGAAGGACAAATACTGAAACTGAAGATTAAATAATTTACGTAATGAGAAGGCTAGATTTATTGGAAAAAGACTGATGTTGGGAAAGATTGAAGGCAATAGGAGAGTGGGGATGCAGAGGATGAAATGAATAGTGTCATGGAAGCAATGAATGTGAGCTTGGATAGACTTTGGGAGGTAGTGGAAGATAGAAGGGCCCACCATGCTATGGTCCATGGTGTCACGAAGATTTGGACACAACTAAACAATAAGAAATGGTGGCATTGACAGGAGAGAGAAGGTGAAGGGCGAGAAGTAAGTTTTACATTTTCCATCTTCTGTCCTTTGTTCTATTTGCAGTGTATTTTGAAAGTGGTACTATAGTGCTGCTTTTTCTCAGCCTCCTTTCTTTGTTCCAATACTCCCAAGGCATATTTCCTAGATCCACTTAGCTTTGTTTGTAAACAGGTAACCAGCCAGCTGTCTCTTTGTCAGAGTCTAGGTTGGTAGTCAGTCATTGATAAACATTAAGTGCCTATTGTGTACTAAGCACTGGCTAAGCACTAGAGATACAAAGAAAGGCAGAAAACGTTCCCTGCTCTCAAAAAGCCCACAGTCTAATGGGGGAGACAGTATGCAAACAACTGTACAAACAAGCTATATACAGGCTACATTGGAATAGTCAACTGAAGGAAGGCACTAGGATTAAAACAAACTAGGGAAAGGCTTCCTGGAGAAGGTGACATTTTAGCAGTCCTTCAGGGAAGCCAGCAAAAATGCCTGAAGCCAAGAGTTGGAGTGTCTTTGAGAAACAGCAGGGAAGCGATAGTGTTTAGACTGCAGGGTATGTCATTGTAGGGTGGGGAGTGTAAGGTGTAAGACTGGAAAGGTGGAAATAGGGTGGGGGTGGCGGGTAGGTTATGAATGGCATCAAAGGCCAACCAGGCTTTTATCCTTCTTACTTGATCCAGGTGGTGATAGAGAGCTCCTAAGATTTTAGTGGGGGGCGTCATGTGGTTAGACCTGTAGTCTAGGAAGACCCTTTTGTCAGCCGAATGTAGTATGGACTGGAGTGGAGAAACTTGTGGTAGGAAAACCAACCAGCAGGCTATGGTAGGTCTCCCAGATCTTGCTATATAGCAGTTATTCATACCACTACAATGAGGCAGCATGATATAGTGGAAAGCATGCTGAGTTTAGTCAGATGACCAAGGTGAATTCAGTGACCTGTGGCAAGTCATCTAACCTCTCTGGGACCTACTAATCTCATTCGTTATGAGTTTTGGACTAGATCTCTGTGATTTTCTGCTATGTCTGTGATTTCATGGTCTCTCAAAATCTGTCCTTTTCTCTCAACTTTCGTGGTTATTACTCTAGTTCAGATTTTTATTACTTCTTGCCTGGACCACTGTAATAGCCTCCTCATTGGTTTCTTAGTTTCCAGTCCCTTAAATCCAACCTTTATATGGTTGCCAAAACAATCTTGCTAAGGCCTTAGAACGATGTATCTCCTCCCTGGCAGAACTGTTAGTGGTTCCCTATACCTTCAGAATAAAACAACTTAGTTTGACTTTTAAAATCCTCCACAACCTGGCTCAAAGTATTTCCAAACTATTTACTATCAGTCACCTGTTTTGTGGTAGTTCTTTTTGTTTTATCTTGGTATTATCTTTAAGTATTTTGTAATTAAGAACATGGCACTTGATGTACTACTATCATAATCTTTTAACTGATTGAAATCTGAGTATATTATTTAAAGGAAGATTTGACTGCCCTTTCCTGAATGAGGTGAAAACTTGTTTATTGCCATGCATGGTAGCACATACCTTTATTCTGTAACGTTGGGAAGGTTAAGGCTGGCAAGTCACTTGAGTTTGGGAGTTTGTAGTATAGTATCTCTAAAGCCAGTTGGGTATCTACACTAAGTTCAGTGCCAGTATGGTGAGTCCCTGTGGAGGATGACTGAACTGCCTATGGAGGGGTGAACCTGGCCAGCTTTGAAAAATGGAGCATGTTAAATCTTCTGTGCCAATCAGGATTGGATTAGGATCCATGAGTGGTCACTTCTAGCCCCACAGTCTAGTGGGGGAGTGAGTAGGTATAGAGAGACCTAGTGTCAAAGCAATCCCAAAACAAAATGCCCAAAAACCAAACAAACCTGATTATATATTTTTCTCTCCAGTTATCTGTAAATCAGACCTAATGTTTGATTATGCCCAGATCTTAGAAATATTATCATTTTGTATATCATTTTAAATGTTAACTGAGTTTACTGATCAAGTTAGGGTAGTTGTATAAGTATGTAACATCATTAAATATTGGACCTGAATTGATTTCTTTGTAAAATACCTCTCTCATTCCATGCTTGGTGTATTTTAAGGTTATTGTTTATGACATTTGTGAATGTCTTTTCTTTTTTCCAGTCAAAAGAAATGCATGAGTAAATTATTAGAATACAGTGCAGATGTCAACATTTGCAATAATGAAGGACTGACTGCAGTAAGTGTTTTAAATTTTGTTGAAATGACTAAATATTTAAAAAAATAAAATTTAACTTGGTACATGCGTTTTGAAACAGTTATTTTTTGTATTTTTGTTTAAATGTTTAATGTCTTTGCAATAACTAAATGGATCACAAGTATTTGGAGACATTTTTCTTTTAGATATTTTGAGGAAATTATTTCAGAGAAACTGAATCTACCAATTGTCTTATTTTTGTTTGTTTGCTTCTTTTTTGATTCTGTTTTTATTCTATCGTCCTCTAGTTTCTTTCCTTAGCTTCTGTCACTGAATCTTTGGAGAGTACGTTCTTCATAGGTACGTTGGCAGTTTAGACTGGGTGAGGTTTTTTCTTTTTTCTTGTTCCTCACTGTACTCAGGAGTAGAATATTTTCCTTTACTCCTTATCCTTGCCCTTGCACAATTAAGTCAGTGTAACATATTCTTTGTGTGAGCACTTCTCTTCACCAAAGCCCTAATTTGGTGCTTTGTGCTGTTGAAGTGACTTCTGTGTTCTTGAAAGCGCTGCCAGTGGAGAAACTTTGGCAGGTCTCACCAAACTAGATAGCCTTTGAATATGGGTCTAAGGATGATCGTAGATCAACTGAAGTTTAGAAAAGTTTATAATTATTTTGGCTGCATTGCTGTGAACGTTTTGGTCACAGTAATGCTCTCTGAGGCAATCCTTGTAGATATTTTAGAATCGTTCTCTTCTGCATTTGTGTCTTGAGTGTTCTGCCCCCATGGCAGGGTTGTGGTTGGTTCTCTTTTTGTTGTTGTTGTTGTTGTTTGCCTATTCTTCCATCCTACTTCCTGACTTTAGGTTTGAGGTAGGTCTGGGCTCTGCCATACTTGTGAAGGGAAGGTCTGGACTGGTACTGTTGCTGATTTCTTGAGTATTATATTATTCTAGGATCTGAGGGACAGACTGAATACCTCTAGGATTTCAGTGTTCCCAAATTGGTTTGATCCAGGACAAAGTCCAGTTGGCTGCTCTGCATTCTAAGCTCTGTAAATTCCTGACCTGCCTTTGAGACTGTGCAAAAGTAGCAGTTTGAAAGCTCTTTTGGCTTAGAGCAGTAGTATTGTAGGCTCCACTTTGGTCTGGGTTTCTTGCTCCAGTTATTTCTCTGCCTGATGGGTTAGACATTGGAAATGAGATCCTGCTTTGTATGAGCCACACTACTGCTGCTGGCTTCTGAACTTCCTTTTTTTCCTGTAACAGTTCCCAGATTTCCCACTGGGTTTCCTTTTCACTCTGCCCTGGATCTGTTAACCAGGACTAGCTAGCTAGTGGATGACAAAATGAGTGCCGGTTGCTACCTGTCCCTGTCACAGTGCTGTGGAGTAGGACTGGTGTGGGTCTGAGACCTACTTTTGCCCTGTTGAACAGCCTTTACCTGGATGATGGAGTGTTCTCATGCGGTGTGCTCTTGGCCCACCCCCTGTTCCCCCAGTCCACAGAACTTCTTGTCTGTTTCCTTATGCTGAGCTGGGCTGGACAAAGGACTCGCTGTGACCTTTTCTGGACTTCTTTATTAGGATTTGGTCTGGTGCATTTTCTAGATAATTAGGAACTTGTCCATAATAACTCCCAAAGACCCTTTTCTAAGTTTGAAGGTCTTGCAGTCTGCTTCAGTACAGGGAGTTTAATTACTGATGAAATCATAGATCCTTGAAATAAATATGTAAACTTTATAGAATAGATTATAGGACTTTGACTCTAAAATAGTCACAATTTTAAGGGCTTTTTTCTAGAAGTAGAGATAAAATGAAATACTAATTTTGAGAAACAGTAGTTTAAATGAAATAACTAAGACATATGAAATTTCATCTTCCTTTGATGTTTGTGTAGCTGTTTTTTAAACATGGAGAATAATTTTGAGTATTGTTTGTTGTATACCTATTCATAAATAAGGTTCTCATAAATAACAGTCCTATGAGATGAATAAGGGAAGTATCAATTTTGGCTGGGAGGATCAAGAAAGACATTAGAGGAGATGATATTTGATCTCTTCTATGTAGGCTGGGCATGGTGTCTACAAGTAAAAGTAGAAGTGTTAGGGAGGGAATAACCTGAACATAGGTCACTAGAGCAAAAGCATGTTTGGAAGATGGCAGGCAATCTAACTTGATTGACTACAGTAAAGAATATATGATGAGTTGTAGTATGAAATAAAGATGGGTTGGATCCTTGCTATTACTTGTGTGGCCTTGGGTAAGTAAATCACTGTTTTCTCACCTTTAAAATGAGGGATTTGGACTAAATGGTCCTGAGGTCCTTTCAGCTTTAAATCTGTGATGCTCTGCTCTTATAATAAGGACATAAACTGTTGGTGATAGGAAGAATGGTAAAGTAGGTATAGATTTGAGCAGTGATGAGATTGAGCCAGTAAGATTTGGCAATTGACTGTATGGGATAAAGGGGGGAAGCATCAAAGATAACTTTGAGGTTTTTGACCGTAAATGGTTGGAGAATAGTGGTGCCATTAAAAGAGATAGGGAAGTCAGGAGTAGCAGTATTTAAGAGTAAGACTGATGAGGCACATTTAAGTTCAGCTTAAGGTGACTGTGAGATATCCAAATGGATGGAATAGACAGAGCGAAATGTGAATAAATGTGATATACTTGAATATCTGAATATCCATAGTACACCTGATACTGTAGCCAGTGTAGACAAAGGCGCATTTTCAGGGCACTACTTATCCAATGTAGGCAGATGAATATGATATTTAATAATTTCTTCCACTAAGTAATTTTAAGGAGGAAAAAATGATTTCTTTCCATTTGTTACATTCATTTGTCCTACATAATTTTCTTTCACTACAGTAGTGAGATGCCTTTACTTTCCCCTCCTTACTTTTCTTCCCTAGTTTTGCCTCAAGACATGCAAACTTCTTTTGGCGCTTATTATTGAGTATATTTAGCAAAGCCTGGAAAATTTGAATTAGGAAGTTTTCGTAGTTGGAGGGATCAGACTTTGAAAGGGTGGGAGAAAGCATATTTTGATATTTGGAAACATTTTTTTAGGGCTCTTAGTTACTTCTTTTTTTCCCCAAGTTTGTTTATATCTGCTGGTGATAGCAGCTTCAGCTGTGAAACCCTCTTGTTCTAACAGAAGCTATTTTTATACTTATTTTCATGACTTCTTTATGTTACTTTCCTGTTAATATATTGCTTGATTTTTTTTCTTTTTTCTCTTTTTTTTTCTGGTTGGGGGAAGGTTGGGCAATGAAGGGCAGTGAGTAGAGGATGAATGTATTATATTGAGAATATCTAGTACCAAGGTTTGGACGCGGGCAGAAAGTTAGCACTTCTCTTCTCTAATTCAGAATTGTCTTTTGGAAAATATAATTTCATATTTTGAAAGCCTCAGGGCATCTGAGAAGGAAGCTATTTTGTATTTGCCTTGTCATTTTGTATGGTGGAAAGATTAATTCTGAAACATAACTTTGGGTTGCCCAAATTTTATTGGAAATTTTAATTGTTAAAAAACTAAGAAAAAGCATATAGGCCTAAAGTGTTACTAGTTTGTATGCTAGATTTGCAATTGAAAAAATTAGTTAATTTTAATGTTCTAACGTAAAAATTTCTTGTAAAAGTACTAACTGGCACAAATTATTCTACAGATCCACTGGTTGGCTGTAAATGGAAGAACAGAGCTACTTCATGATCTTGTGCAGCATGTCAGTAATGTGGATGTTGAAGATGCAATGGGACAGACAGCATTGCATGTTGCATGCCAGAATGGTCATAAGACAGTAGGTTAAATTTAGTTGAAATTGCATGTATTTTGTAAAAATTTGAAAACTTTGAATTTATGAAAAGGTTTTCATTAGGAATATTTGTGAACTTGGTCTTTAAAGGTCTTGTTTTTAAAGTATTTTCTGCTAATGACTAGATTGCTGATTTGTTTTGATGGAAGGAGAAGAAATATAATGCTTTTTTAATACTTTAGTATTTTATGTAAGTAACTTTATGCAGATTATATTCCCTTTAGATGTTTTCTGTGAGTGCTGTGGCTGAAAAAAATGTATCACTTGATAGTCAACATTCTGGTGATGAGCATTGCTAAGCTAGTCCTTGGAAGATACAGTCTGTCAGCAGGCCTGTATCAGAAACTTTCTTAGGTTGATAAGACATACTAGAATTTGTGCTTTGATAGCCTAGCCTTCAGGAATCCGAAGCTGTCTCTGATGAGGCATTCCAAGAAATTGAGAGTATGGTGTATGAGGTATAGTATCAAGACTCTGAGTTTGGGAGGAAAAAGTTGCTCTTCTGATGTCCTTATGTGTTCATTAAGTGGAAAAAAAGATTTCTTTGGATTCTAACGTCTACTTAGATTTTATTCCTTTTAATGTCTAGAAATTAAATTAGTTTAGTATCTTTAAGGAATAGTAAATAGCTATTGTTTCTTCAAAGGTTACCATCTTTAAGGTTATGAAAGCGCTTTTTTTTTTTTAAAAGCTTACACTGGAAATATTCTGATATATCTGATCCCATTCTTCAGCGTTTTTGAAAAGCATAATTATGAATGACTTTGAGGAATTCTTTTGTAAAATTATTATAGTTTTGGATGTGATCCCTGTTGACAGTATCTCAAGCCTTCAAATTTAAAGACTTCTATCTGTATCTTTATCACGTGAGATGGTTAACCATAATAAAAAAAAAACATCATCACAATTGTTCAAAACCTTATGCTCTCTCTGCTTTCATAAAGTTTAGATGGGAAATGTGTTACAGTAGTTGATATCAGTTGCTTTCAATTAGGATAGAAGATAGTAGACCATTAAAGAAAGTGCTTTATAGAATGCACTTAAAAATGTGAATTATACTTTGAAGTCATTGAGGATTACATAGCACAAGTATAATGTATTCCATATGGTTTACAACCTAAAGCAGGTGTGGTAAAGCAATGAAGAATGCTTCGAAGTTGAGAAATTCTATCTTTGAAGAATTGTCTTCTAGGAAAATTTATAGATACCCTGACTTTACCATGATAATGTTTACTGGCTGAAATTTTGCAGATAAAATAGAGCTGGAAGGGAAAAAATAGTGACTTTCCTAACAGCATTACAGTTCTGTGTTCCTGCAGTTGTTTGCATTGTGGAACAAGATTGCTGCTAAATCTCTATCCTAGTCACTGAAATGCCACAGGGATTTTTGAGGATCGTACAGAAGGAAATATGTAGCGATAGTGTTACTGAATCATTGGTGATTGCCATTAATTATAGAATCAGAGTGTCCTAAGGGTCCTTTAAAAGTCATTTAGTCAGTACCCTTGCCTTTAGGTAGAATTATACCTGTAGCATTTTCTCAATAGAATTGTGCTAATTATTATATGCCTTAGAATTGCTGATTTTCTATGATGTATTAGAATCTTGTTGGATAGGAATCTTGTCTTGAGCTGCACTGAATTATCTGTTGGAGGTTTGGTAAGCTTTTCAAGGGTAGGAACTGTCCTGAATCATTTCTTAATTTACTAATGAGATGCTCTGAAAGGCTTTATTGTATATTAGTGATTTAGGCAGATGTGGAATTAGAAAGTCTTTGATATTAGTTTACTAGAATTGAATGTGACCTTCTTTGTCCCTCTTAGTTAAGGGAGTTAGTTACCTTGATTATATCATTAAGGAAATGGTAGGGTAACTTGGTGGCACAGAGTACTAGACCTGGAGTCAGGAAGACTCATCTTCCTGAGTTCTAATCTGGCCTCAGAAACTTCCTAGCTATCTGACACTGGACGAGTCACTTAACCTTATTTGCCTCAGTTTCCTCATTTGAAAAATGAGCTGGAGAAGGGAAATGGTAAACTACTCCGGTATCTTTGCCAAGACAACTCCAAATGGGCTCGTGAAGAGTGAGACATGACTGAAAAATGACTGAAAGAGCTTATGTATAGCAGGACATATTCAATATTTTTATTAAAATTTAAAAAGCTTGATATTTCATAAAACCAAATGTAAAAAATCTTCGGGGGAAATAAAACTTTAAGCTTTAAAAAATTAATATAGAAAGGTAAGAGACAGAAGTTTTCTGTAAAGTTTTACTTTTAAACCTCAGTGTAGGTTGAATTTCAGGAACACTTAAGAAGAAAGTCTGAGTAGATGACTGAGAGAGAGAGGGAGAGGAGAAACATCATTTCCAAGTATCGGACAGCTCTGTAGCATTCCTTACTGCTGTCACATTGTTGCTTTGATGATGAGGGTGCTTAATTAGTTAATTTAATAATTATTATGAAGTTACATAAAGGGTTAAATTTAAATCCAGTTTGCAGAGCATGTGGCTATTCCTCCAAAGGTAACCAAGATGAAAAACTCATTTTACTTCTTTGCTGCTGTTGATCCCAAGCTATGCAACATGGACATTTAAATTTTGTTTACTGATTCTGTACTGTTGTGTTAATGTACATAGTGTTTTAAGATTTTGAAGGTTGACTTTTTCTTCTTGAGAGGCAGTCAGTGTGTGACAGTGAATAGAAAACCAGTCTCAAGAAGAACTGGGGGGCAGCTAGGTGGTGCAGTGGGTAGAGCACCGGCTCTGGAATCAGGAGGACCTGAGGTCAAGTCTGGCCTCAGACACATAACACTCACTAGCTGTGTGTCTCTGGGCAAGTCACTTAACCCCGATTGCCTCACAAGAAGAAGAAGAAGAACTGGGTCCAAGTCTTGCCTCTCTGATACATACTGACTTTTTGAGTCTGGGTTAGATACTTTGCTTCTAGATACTACAACAACTTTTAAAGTTGAAAAATTGTGTGATACTTACTGTTCTGTTAGGTGGAGGAGTTCCCTGTACCAGTGATACATAGGCCTAGGCAAAAAAAGGTAATAATTTCAGGTCTTCTGTTTTCATTGATGATTTTGACTAGCAGCTCTTATTTGAGCTATGCCTTTTGCTTTGTGTCACTAGAATTGTAATACAGCTTTAGGACATATTATCCAGGGTACATTATACTCCAGACAACATTGAAAACCTTGGTTCCTCTTGACCTGGAAGGGACCATAGAGGTCAGACTTGGTTCATTCATTGGCTAAATAGTTACACTTGGGATAACATATCTTTCTATTTCAAATTTACCCTTATGGTATGTGCAGAATCCTAGTGACATAGTTGATGAAAGTGCTCTGAATTCTGTGGGGGAAAAAAGCAATACATGTATCTGAGAATATAGTTCTTGTTGCTATGGAATGTTACTTTTCCAGCAACAGAAGGATAAAGAGCAATTTGCAGACCCTCTGTGATGATTGGATTTTGACACACTGTAGCCATTTAGTCAGCAAATTGTATTTTACCTAGCTATCCAAAATGACAAATTTGAAATTAACTTTTAATAGTTTTTATTCCTGTTGGCATCAGTTGTCTAAAAGACTTAAATGAGGTGAATTGTTGTTGCATATGAATGCTTTCTTAGCTTTCTGGGACAATTTGGAGCCATAAACTTAGAGTATCGTATTGTTAAATGATCTAACCTAAACTTAAATACTGTGAGTATATTTAGCTAGAAATTAATTCAAAATTAAATTTAAAGAAAATAGCTTACACTTGAGCAATTTGATATCTTAAATTTATGTATCTTGGTTTGAAGCTTCACAGATTTAATATAAAAAGGCAATTGGAATCGTTAGGGTAGATTTAAGCTCATAAAACTTAAAAAAACAATTGCTAATTTGACAGTGGCATTATAGATTGTTATTTTCAAGAGAATTATTACTGACTGCGTTTCTCATTGAAATTGCAGGCTTGTTAAGGAACAATAAGGTTATTCCACTACATTCAGTCAGCTATATTGGTATCCATAACCATCCTCCAAACTTTTCATCCAGAGACTTACAGGGCAGTCATGTACACTTATTTGAATGCTTTCCCCAAAGCATTGCTTGGATTCAGCTTTGAGGCATAAAGGTAGGTTTGATTAACATATTTCAGAATTTATTTTTAGGTTTAGAGAAAGTTGAGTTTTTCTGAACTTAGAGTTCTGTGTTGGCTGTTCTGTAGTGATAGTAGTTTTTCCAATTACTCTTATTTACTAGGACAAGTGAATACTGCTGTCATTTGCTGGATAATTAAAGAAATATACATTAGTTTTAGGTAGTTGGTCTTCTGGCCAATGAAGTTATATTGCAGGTTGCTTTTAGAGAATGTGCAAAGCATACTGTCAGAAGCTTTACATCATTATGTCATTTAATATTTTGCTTAAATTATTAGACTGAAAGTTCCAGGGTCTGCAGGAACTTCATTTTATTTAACTTTGTATATCCTTCAGTGCCTAAAATACTGCCTTATATATAGTAGGCACACAATTAAAACTTGGTTGAATTGAAATAATGCATTTTTCTTTTTGGATTGTTTGTAATCATTTGCTAAAAGGAGTTTACATTCAGTCCTTTATTGTTTTTTAATATTGGCCATTAACGTTTTAGTTTTGTCACTTTGAATTTGGACATGTGTATGTAAGCTTGTCATCGGGTGTTTTGCTTCTTGGCTAGCCATTGACTTCAATTAAATGACTGGAGATTGACCCAAGAACATATGAGATCCTTACTGTTTTGCAAAATCTTGCTGAAAAGACATGAAGCCCTATTGATGCATATAGCTGGTTGTATCTTCCAAGGCAAATCCTGGAATCCAGATGGGATACCTTCTTCCTTTTTTCTCCCCAGATCCCTCTTTACCAGTTACCTATTTTTTAAGATTGTAGAAAGGAAGATGTGTTGAGCAGAATGAGGAACCCTACTTGCTATTTGGAGGACCCTGAAAC